GTGTGTGTGTGTGTGTGTGGGGAGAGACTTGGCAAGAGTGTTGTTTGACACCGATCGGTGACTCAGCACTGCCAAGCTGCTCTGTGAGGCTGTGACATGCGTTTTAAACGAGCAGGACCCACAAAGAGGCCCATTCAGCAGAACCTACCTCTGTTTCTCGTCTCCTTAAAATCCCTGAAGAACTTGACTACTGAATCCCACCCATCAGTAATGAGTCCCAGGAAACCACTTCAGTTATCCTCCCACCCCTTCCCCCAGGAACGTAAAACACCTCCACAATACAGCCTTGCTGAGTCTGACTCCAGTCGCCTCATTTCACCCCAGTTTGGAGACGGAGATTTGTATAGTGAGAAGACAGGGATTTCACGATAGTCATTGATGTTTAGGGGAATAGAATCTTGGCCACACAGCGAGGTGGCAATGATTGAAGGGGAAGATGTCTATGTTGGTCTTTTGTTTTGAGGTTAATGAACATATTTTGTTCTTTTCAAACACATTCAGTTCCTCAAAGGAGCACATTGGGTGTCCGGGCTGGTTTCCATTCAGACACATTTAGAAATGGGAGTCTTGTCACCTTGTTGCTCTTCTGGTGGCTGAATTTATGGGAAGGAATTGAGTGATTGAAAGCGATATTTACCTCCACCAAGGATGTTTTGTTTTCACCCCGTCCATTGGCTGGTTTGTCAGCAGGATTAACCAAAAACGACAGAACAGATTTCCGAGAAACTCTGGGGAAGGGGGACATAGGCCGAGAGAGACCCTGTTAAATCTTGGCATGTGTCTTGAAAGGAAAGAATTTAAAAAAGATTTTGTTCATTACAAAACCATGGGGGGACAAATTAGAAAAGCAGCCCACCACAGTCTACGTATTTAATGGGAAACAGAACTCTTTAGTCTACAGTTATGAATATAGAGCTTCACTTTATAGTGTTCAATCGCACCAGATGATATCAGGGATATTAGAGCCAATACCTCTGTGAGCAGACACAAGAATGCACAGACAGAAATCCATCCATGTATTATGGTATAGGATGTCTCCATGGGATGTAGGTCATTTGGCTCCTGCCTGATAATCACATTTAGTCACTGTGATGTCTCTCACATTCCCAGACATAAATACAAACTACTGTGTTGTGGTTTTAGTAACACAAGATGTTTTTTACTCCTGCTGTAACAGGAGGACAGAGGATGGGAAGATACAGTAGCTAATAGTCTCAACACAACTTTTTTAATAACTTGTCAATAAAGTTCTATCTAATCTAATCTAACCAAGCCTAACCTCTGAATTTCAAAGCTTGAACAAAGGCGTTTTTAAAAAATATTTTTATGAAAAAGTTGAGTACAAAGGTTGCACTAAACATTATAAATGGGGAATAGCTAAGGAAGAAACATATAAATCTTGAAAGTTGCACGTCAGATCTGTTTGATCTCTGCCAAGGAGGTTATGTTTTCAGACATGTCAGTTTCCATGTTGGTTGGTATTTAAGCAAGATTACGCAAAAACCTTCAGATGGATCTCACTTACTAACTCCAACTTGGTGGAAGGATGGGGGAGCCCATTCAATTTCTGTGTGGATCCAGATCGGGGCTCAGATCCAGCAACTTTTTTCACTTCATTGCAAATGGACCTTTTGCAATTTCACAGGGAATAATTCTGGCCCTCGATGACCTTGGCAGAGGTCTGCGCTCTAATGTGTGCCATTCTAGTTCAGAAATACATAAATGCTGCCTCTGAACATTTAAACTTTTTATTTGTACTTCAGTACTTTGAAAACATAAACATATCATATGAAATCACAATATTATAGACATGCAACATAAGTCGGCACCTGAAGAATGTGTGTGATGTGGATGACTCTGCTGCCCCTACTTGGTATCACAGATACATCAATATAATAGTCTGGCTCGGGGGCTATTGACTGAAACAAGAGAAACTGATTATGTCAAGTGTCAAGAGCAAGAAGCTTGTGCAAGATCTGTGTTGTACCCAGGACATCCATGACCTCTGTGCTGTGATACCGTGTGGAATATGATCTGCAGAAATGTGAGCTGTAAAAGTTATAAAGCATAAATCATTATTTATTTCTTCTCTTATCTTCCTCCTCTTTTCTCTGTCAACAGTGCTGATTTTATCCATGCGTTTACAAGCAAGCCTAAAATTCCCCAGACACCTGACATGGCGGACGGCCAGAACGGAACTAGACGGCGTCCAAACCTGGCACCTCAGTTTTCCCAGTCGGAGCCGCAGCACAGAAGCCGGCCAGGTACCGCCAGCTCTGCGGAAGGAGGCGGATCCCACAGTGGAAGTAAGTGAGGCTGCCTGCTTTGGTGAATATCCGCTCCAGTTGAATTCTCTGCTGCTCACACTGGAAGATTACCAGCTGCCAATTGAGAGTCCAGTGTTTTGTTTTTTTCAAAAAATTAAGTTAGCTAAGAAACTCCCAGTTCTAATTCAAGATGAGCTAAGCAGAGTGGACATGAGGACGTTTTCTGTAACTTCCCATCAGTCGCCTGTCACATTTTAAAGCATGAAACTTGAGCTTATCCACCATCAGGTAGATAATGTGAATACAATCTGTCCCCCACCTGTTTTACATCCCTGTAATATCCTAATTGTCTTCATCACAAACCTGTTTTACCTGAACAGTTCACTGTTCTGAATTCAAAAGCAGATTTCTCAATAGAACTGACAAGAGGATTAATGATCACAGATCACTTCAGTTTCCCTGAAGTTCACATCTTGGGTTACATACAAGAAACTTTTAACTTTTAACTAGAGGTCAGTAACAAAACCTGTCTTTACTTTCTTACAAAGCTTTTGTATAACTCTTCATTCACAGTGTTTCTGAAGCACTTAAAGCTGAAAGCACAGAAATGGAGCAGAGACAGACTGTAAAACACAAGGCTGGTCAGACGCCCTTCAGATGAAGGAATGGACATTTTTATGTTGCGTGAGCAGAAACATTGATAGTTTAGGCCACAGGACTTTGTCAGATGTCTATGAATCTTGATGGCTCTAAGAAGACCAGAAAAAGATTAAGCTATAGATATTTGTAGTCTTATATTCACAGAGAATGGAACCACCCAACCATCACTCATTGCTGATACACAGCATTTAAAATATATATATATTTTACAAAATGTGAAAAGCTAACTGTTAGTATTTGTTAAACAAAGGCACCGTTCAGACCAACATGACCGTGTCTCATATTTATCTGCTGTCAGCTTCGCATCCTAAACACAGAAGTTGAGTCACTGCAGGGAAGACTGCCTGATCGGTTGCTCTGGTGCTCTTAGTCAGGTGATAACATCTCCCGATGCTCTCATGCGTCTGAATTGCATTTGATGAGCGATTACCTCCGGCTCTTACGCTGGCTGCTCTTACCAGAAAGCCTGTAATAGTGGCTAATGGTCACTCAGAGCCACCACATCCTCGTCCTGTGTGCGTTGTGCTCTTGAGGTCTGGCAAGTGTCAGGCATCTATTGATTCATAAGGAAGTCACTTAATTGTTGCTCTGCTCAAAGGGCAATAAGTAGACATGCACGCCACGGCAAACAAAATCTAAGTTTTACTGTTATCTTCTAAAGCTTTTATTGGCGTGTAAGCTTTCACCTGTGTTTGATTTCCCTTCAGCTGCACACCCACTCCAATTATGGTCAAGTTATAACTTGAAACTGGAAACTAGCCTTTTAAAAGCAGTAAAATGAATCTGCATGAGAAATCTAAGTCTCTACATGTGTGGAAAAGATTTGTATTTGTTAAAAAAAACAAGCTCAGTGGTTTTAGTTGTATTTGATACTGTAGAAAAAAAACACATGCAAACACACTTGGTCAGTGGAAGAGGCCAAGCAGTTGCCCGTCTTGAAAATCTACTGTGTCATTCAGGCAATGACTGTATTTGTGTATTCGGATTGTGTCTCACATCAACTTAAGATCCTATTACGCTCGAACGGGTTGTGGGTTGTCCACTAATGAGAACATCAGTGGTTCAATCCCCAGCTGCTCCATTCCACATGCCGAGGTGTCCTTGGGCAAGACACCGAACCCCAAATTGCCCCTGACGAATGTGCCGACAGTGTGTCAGTGATGAGAAAGAGAAAGTGCGGCATGTAGATGCACTGTATGAATGTGTGTGACTGTAAAGAGTTTTAAGTGTTCATTAAGACCAGTGAAGTGCTTTGGAAAATAAATTTACCATTATTTAGTTACACTGTTCCCTGCTTTGTATCGTGTCCACAGATATTCACAGCAGCACTCCTTTTTTTAAAGTCTCTGTGTTACCACAGCACTGATGTCATTTCTTTGTTAAATGAACGAGACTTTACAAGCTCAGAAATCTTATCATCCACATTTTAAGGCCATAACCATCTTTTTAAATTGATTTCCACTAGAAGCCTCTGCTGCCTGTCAGGCGTCATTATGCCTAATATTTGTTGCTTGGCGGCATCTCGCTGCAGAGAGGAAACATCTACACGCTGAGGCAAGATCCCCTCAAGGCCCATGTTTGGCGAGCGCGTCTGCTGTGACTGACAGAGACGCTCCTTTTCACCGAGGAGACATAGAGGAGGCGTTTGTGTGGCTGACGGGGGGCCACCCACTCAGCCAGCACAAACAAGGAGGGGAACTGCTGCTGCCCTGTCGTGTAGAGAGGATGGAAACAAAAAGAGAGCTGCATAATTCCACCCAAGTCGAGTCGACAACACTGAGTTCACGTGATGACAGCTCCGTGTTGTTTGGAGGTTTAGAAGGTGGAGGAAGTGCGGCAGGATCTTTGAGGACTGTCGCTCTGGTCCTGAGTGATAAATGTGATGAGGAAACCAGATTTTTCTTTTTCCTCAGACAAGTAGGGAAGCTTTTAAACAAATTGAAATCAAACCTCCAGGGCAGGATAATGATGTTCTGGTGTGTTCAGCAGCTAAACAGATTCTGGAATCAAATTTCATCGTTGTTAGGAGAAAAAACATCTCATACATAAATAATGATTCCAAGATGTCTTTCTTTTTTAGATTTCTTAAAAAATATGGAAGAAATTATCTTTTCACTGATAAGTTGAAATCTTGACTATTCTACCTTCTCTTCTTCTTCAAACCCCCCCACCAATTCTTCCCACATCCCTCCCTCCTGTCCACCCTCCCTCCCTCACGTCCCTCCCTCCCTCCTCCTCCAGGCAGCCAGTCAAACAGGAGGTGAAGAGGGAGCTGTCACCGTGCAGTAGCGGTATCTCCCCACAAGCATCGGGCTTCCTGTAACACCATACCCCCAGGTTGCGATCAGGGTCAGAGCAACAGAGATGGTCGAGGATCGGCAGCGAGGGTGGAGGAGGAGGAGGAGGGGCTGGAACAATGTGAAGGATTGTGGCTCTGCATTTTCCTCCTCCCCCTCTTTCGTCTTTAGTGCAGACTTCCTTCTGTAACATTATACGCAGCCGAGCAATAATCACGACCCCCCAGCCGTGCAGCACTGTACACCTTGTAGCCTGAGCTAACCTCCCAGTTCTCCACTCTCTATCAAGGCGATAGTTGTAACCCCTAAATATTCACAGAGATGGATAACTCCCATCCAATCTTGTCACTTACGTCACTTATCACAACTAACGACTTTAGGATGCTTCAAAACTCGTCCTATGACTGTCACAAAGTTGAATTATTTAAGAAGAGGCACAGCTCTTTCTTTTACTCGATTGAACACCTATGAGAAAAAACACTCCTCATTTGTAAATGTCTCATCTTGATTCTACAAATGTATAATCGTCTGAATTTCCATTTACGTTTTGTATAAATTGGTTTTTGACTGTGATGAAAACATATCGTGGCACACGTGGATGCCACCGTGGTCTCCCAACAGCAACCAGAGACAAACAACACGCATTTCATCATACTTGTATTATCTTTTAACACACGAGAGCAAACATAAAGTCAACTTAAAGGGGTGGAGCAGTTTCTGCTGGAGGTTTATCTTTGCAGCTCACTCCTTTTCAGTTTCTCTCCTGTGTCTCTCCTCCCGTGTGCGTCTCCCATGCCGGTCTGTGTGTCTCTCTTTTGAATCCATGGAGACTTAATTGGCCAACTAGTCTCAGCTGTGCACATCCCCTCTCCCTGGTTCACCTGGAGGTGCTCACTGAGCCTCCTCTACATACAGAGGGAGAGCACCTCCACCTGCACCAGAGGATCAACCAACAGAGGTGAGAGCTGTCAGCTGATTGATCCTCTGGTTTAAAAGGCAGCAGCAGACACGTGTGTGAAGCTCATAGAGAGACTTCATGAGAAACACAGAGACTCAAAGAGACATGAGCAGAGACTGAGCGGAGCTGGAGGACAGAAGACATTGCTGGATTCTTTACGTTTATGTTTGAGTTAATAAAAGAATGCTGAAAGCAACATGTTCATCTCTGGCTGTGTGTGGGAGACCCCCGTGGTATTGGACGTCGCCACACATCCATCCACTTGTACAGATAAATGCTCCAGTTGTACTTCAACTGTAAAACATATATCAGGGTAGCTGCTCTTGTTTAATGTGCGCTCCAGAAATGTTTACAGGAACGAGACAGGTCCTCACAATTCTTGTCAGGCTAGTGCATATTTTAAATGATAATAGAAACGGCTTGTCATTGTTGATATACAGAAAACTATCTATCTGACAAAAAACTTGAAATAGTGTAAATGTCTTAAATCCAGTTCTGCAGGTGTCTTGATGTATATTTTCTTGACGGGTTTTTGTGCATTTGCATTGGGAAAAAAACGATTTTGATATGTTGTAAGTGGTTTGAAATAAATGTGACATGCCACCTCAGTTGAAATGTGTAATCTATATACATTACCTGAATGATATTCTGTACAAATATTCAGTAACTCGGTAAAGCAGTCTTTGATCTGTTTTGCAGCTTCCATCTGCAGTTCAGTCTTTGAACATAAATCCGCTCCGTCTACATAATCACTGTCAGAGAGTTATTGGCATGTTGTGTCTACACAACGTTGTGCGCTCACCTTTGTGCTCCATTGCCTGGAGAAAAAGACAAATTCTGCTCTCCAAGATGTCAAACAGCAGTGATACGTCTGCTCTCGGGTTTCAGTTGTAGACTGAAGGCTACATCACCCAGGCCGACTCACAGGGCAGCTGCACCCTTGGGGACGCGCTAAAATCCTCATTAAAGAAGATAAAGTCCTTCTCTATTTTAAAATCCTGAATCCGTGACCAGACTGAAGTCATGTAAACGTGTGTGTGTGTGTGTCTGTGTGTGTGTGTGTGTGTGTGTGTGTGTTTGCCTTGTTTTTGTTGGAAACTGCCAGAGTGCTGAAGAAGCACCAACAACAGGATGGAGCGGAATAATGTGACTCAAACTGTTGTGAAGAATAATGATTGAGCACTATTGCCTCTATATTTACTGACTACGTATTTCCCCCAGGAGTTAGAATTGTCAGTGTGTGAATAATGAAATTACTCACTAACTTCTACTGTCTCACTGTCCTCATCACTCACCAGGACACGTGAATAGCCATTGTTAATATCACTGTGCTTTAATCCGTCCACTGTCACAAGCCTAAATGTTCACTGTGGAAAAAGCAAACTTCACAGGTCACACTTGAACAAAGCTGCCACACTAAAACACTGAAATATATTACAAGGAATTCAAGTTGACTTCCTGTGATCACAACGTTCGCACCCACTTTTTAACACACAGCTGACATTCATTCAACTTCCCCCTGACATGTAAGAGCGGCAGGAATGACTCACTGTGGCCAGGCAGCTCTCACTATATCAAACATGGTCCCTGGAAAGATGACATGTTCAGCGATTAATACTTTGGATGCTGGAAGCGAGAAGCAGCACAATGTGAGGAAACGGGCTGCACATGAAACACTGACGCACTTGCAGCCAGGTGTTCCGCGGCGTAACCTCCCAAAGCCGGAGCTGTGCTGATACTGTCCAACTGAAACTGTGACAAAGAGGAAGCTGCTGCTCTCTATCAAAACACGAGTGTGGATAAAGACTGGGGCATGTTGGTTGGTTTGTTTGTCAGCAGCATTACGCATCATATTTGCACAATAACTCTCCAATTAATCTCCTGAGACAGGAACATCCTCTGAAGAGTCCCAAGTGTCATCAGGATCACCCACACTCTTCTCAGATGTGTTTATCAGTAGGCAGCCATGTGGTCAACTGATAAAAGGTGACGCCTTCCACAAAGAGACAGTGTCTCCATCTCCTGCACCTCCTGTTTCCTCCTGACCGCTCCTTTTGAACAGATACATCGAAATGACCCCCACAGCTGACCCTTCGTTGTAAACACTTGAAGTTGTGTGACTCTGTTTTGGTGAGTGCACCAAACTAAGGTAAAGACACTGGTTCAAACAACATTATAACATATTGACAGAGCACATTCTTGTCAAAGCTTTGGATGATTTGAAAAAGAGGCCACTCATTAAACAGAGCAGAATCTAAAGCATATTTGAAATTCACCTTTTACTTTTTTGACCTTCTCAGGAATGTCCTCACAAACTGCTCATTGACCTTTAAGGTGAATAGCGCTGCACCTTTTCTCTATGTACACTAGTGCAAATCCAAACAGTGGGTTAATGTTTCGTGGGACACGGTAAATGCCAGACTGAGGCTGTTTATTCAGGAAGTGAAAAACGAATCACTGATGCAGATGACAGATAATAACAATAGCTTTTATTTGTATATAAATAAATATGAATCAGCCTATCAACGAGCTGCCTTCCTCAGGCTTATCTGCACGCAGCACGAGTGACTGTGGACACAGACGCCTCAGGAACTGACAGTTCACTCATTTGCTAGTTCTGGAGCTTTTCACCTCATCAGCTGGATTTAGCTTAAAACTGAAGATGTTCAAGAGTTGACCACTGAAAAGCTCTGGGATGAAAATGCGTGCTGCTCTTTAACAGGGGGCTGGGAAGCAAACCAGAGGATCGTTTGACACAACACCTTGTTAGTCTTTTCCTGTGTTAAACCATAAAACTCTTTTGTACATTTATGCACCAGTT